ATGTGACTTTACCCGCGGTGAAACTGTTTAAGAGACAAGAGAGACGTTTAGATGAACAAAACGTGGGAAAAAGTGTCGAATATCGCGTTTTATGTGTGTTGCCTCTTTGGCTCTCAGACGTGTATAAATACGTTTTTATTTATTCAGATTTGTACGTGCAAAACACACACTTAGAAAAAGTATTTGACAGCCATTTTTACTCGGTTATTATTTGACACCTGTATCAAACGAGAGTTTAACGCGACGAATGATTATACTTGAAATGCGGAAATTGCCGAATAGAGGTATCAATGGACAACAGAGATAATTGAATCAGACATTTTTCATTCGCGTAACTGAATTTACGAGAAAGGGAAGAACAAGTTGCGAAAACTCTAATAAATTGGCGCAGTCGCGACGACGATATTGGTAGACGATTGTATTATTGAAAGAAATCTGTAATTACAGAGAAACCGCAAAAGATCTCACTTCCTTCGTACGGGAAGCCTTTATTACTCTCTCGGCAAAGTATTCACATAAACACGTCGAACGTGAACCAGTTCGTTTCAAAGTTCCTCTTCTAATCACACGCATCCTTCTCTTTCGTGCAAAGTCAATGCAAATCAATTCAACTGGATTAACACCGTGGATTTGACAATTGATGAAATTAGCGTGCGGCTAAATTCTTCGATTGTTGGCTTTATTTTTTAACGTTAAGCCGTCGGTTTAATGTTAGAGAAGAAAAAAAAAGAGAGAGAGAGAAACATGCGAAATGAGAAGTCAACAATCGTAAGTATTCTCATGACTGTCGTGCACGGCTTGCACACGTGATTAGCTAATAAGATGACGTAGGAGCTTACGCACACGTACGATATGCATAAGAACAGTTTAAGAAGGGTATAAGCCAGTTTTTCATGGCTTTTCAATGAACTCTCTATGGTTTATCACCTGTTCGTTCTGTGAAATGTACGTCGATATAAAAATTCTTAATTAATTCTATCTGATTAGCTCATTCGTGCATACACCTGGCCAAGTACAATACTATAGAAACTCTTTTGAAAAGTCGTCCGTTATGCACGATTGTTCGTTATTCGCTTAATTACACGGACCGACAGTGTGTGTACTCCACTTATGTAAGGAAATACCACTTGAAAGATCGCAATTGCAAACGGAGAGGATGAATCAACCGGAAAATATCATCATTATATCGGCTGTTTCTATTCACGATTCCAGCGAACAGAAGATTTCCCACTTGATTCGGCGTGCAATTCGGAGTAGAATGGACGTTATAGCAATCCATTTTCTTGACTAACTTGTTATGTAGCTTAAGCTCGAGCCTCGAGCTTTTTCTCGAGATGATTTCTGGTTTTTCTCAGTTTTGAAAATGTAAAAAAAAGAAAACACACAGAGTTCAAGTAACGTACGAAGTTCGTACGAAGTACACTAATTTCAATTACACCGCGATTAATATCGCTCGATCTCGAGTAGATCTCGACACCACTTTCGACACTTCTCCTCGTTAATTATTCGCAGTCGATTATTTCGACATATCGTTAATACCTGAATGATCGTACTACAGTGCTGAGTGTAATTTGATTTTACTCTTCCAACATTCATTCTCATTAGTCATTTTTTGTAGTCTTGAAGAATTTGAAACAACTACCTGACTATCGGGAACTTTCTTCCCTTTTTTTTTCTTTTTTTTAATTGGCCATTTTTAATCATAATTTATCACGACAAATCATCAGAATGGGCTTCTATAACTTTCTTATTTCCTTCATTTCAGCCGGCAGTTTATTTAAATATATTTTTGTTCTTGTTCATGGAAAACCTTTGTCTTAAAGCTGTGTGATTTTAACTGGCTCGAAAAACATCCTTCAAAGTTTCCAACTTTCTCGTTTCCCATCGATCGAGTCGCTCGCCTCGAGTTTGCGCGTGCACGCGCATAATCGCGAATTATTTCTCCTCTCGGCTTCCGAGGCGTGCTTTTGCAAATTGAAAAATCATGTCACGGGCTCACCTTGCTCACGTTTCTAATGTTCCTCATAGTCTCGGAAATTAATCAGCGAGACGCTCGAATCGTAATTGTAATAACCTCCA